CATCCCAATACACCTCCTTTATTTAATTGATAGTGAATTCCTCTCCAGCAAAGTCTTTCCTCTCCCACTGTTTTTCAAGATAGTTCACAATTACTGACCTTTATCAGGCTTGGAGAGTGGCCAGGCCGATATCTTTCAGATGCCGCAATACTTGGCAAGAATGCAGGAATGAACTAATTGTCTCCTGCAAATTCCATTCCCCTTTCGCTCCTCTTTTATTTCCTATGGGAGGGGCCATTCACCGTCCACCTGTGACCTTACTCTCAAATCGACCCCTGTTGTTTAGCTGTTCCCTTCATCTGGCAACTCTGCACATGCGCACACTGGGAACAGGCTCCAGCTGTTCTTCTGCCTCACTGATGTCTGACTCCGAAGGCAGCACATAACTACCAGATGGCCCTGGCCCCATCTCTGCCTCCAATGCAGAGCCCTCGTCCGAAACCTTCCCCAGACTCCAGGACTGGCCTATGTTCCTCCCCAACCTCCTCACTGTCCGAATCTGCTGGCCGCCGGTGGGCCACAACACTGGTGATTGGCCCAAAGTCATCTAACTGGTGGGACTCAAAGTCATCTAACTGGTGGGACTCAAGAGTCCCCTGGTTTCTAGGCCAGCATCTTAGCCACAGCATGAAACTGGCTCTCTATCCTAGTACTACTTGAGAGGGACAAGGCTTTCAATAGAAAGAAAAAATAGAAGAGCATGCTCTTTGGAATAGTTAATTTTTATCATGCTTTTGCCCATCAAAAACCGGTGGGGAAAATGTTGAATTCTCTGTTCGCTGAAAGAAACTGTTGAGATCAGAGAAGTGGCTTTTAAAACCTTATTGTAGAAAACAGCCGCCACCTAAATATAGATGAAGGAAGGGAAACCTCAAAGGTTTTTGCTAGTAGACAAGAGGAAAATAACTTCACTTCATACGGTATGCTAACCTAGAAGGGCATTATCTACCATTAGTAACCTGGAGTAGGGTCTGGCAAAGCAAAGAATAGCAAGCGGCAGCATTACCTTCATCAGCTCTTCTAGCCTGCTCCGTTTCTTAGACGCGAAAAGGCTGGGATGCAGATAATTGCCTTCGTTGTCGTCGTCGTCATCGTCATCATCTTCATCGCCATCTTCCATTGCATCTGTCGAATGAAGAATGGAAAGGATGGGACTTTTAAAAAAAAACAACAGTGGTATTCCAGAGAGCTACACTGTTTTGACAGCCACAGTGGGAGAATCATGAATGGAAGGAGTGAGTGGAAAGCCCGAAGCCAAGTGAAAACCATCTGGGCACCATTCAAGAGCACCGCAGAGGCCGCCGTGTTGGCCAGCTGTTGTTCAAAACCTGCCGGGGTGATTGACAACATGACATTCAGAACGCTGCAAATGATGCTGCCTTGAAGGCACCGATGCTTCTTGGGCGAGCTCAGCCCTGCACAGCATCTATTTTCCATTGCAATATGGGTAATCTCTGACTGAGAATAACTCACTTATATTTATTCATTTTGTCATGTTTACTAATAGCAGTAGCAACAGCACTTAGACTTATATACCGCTTCATAGTGCTTTTACAGCCCTCTCTAAGCGGTTTACAGTCAGCATATTGCCCCCTTAAGTTCACTGGTATTTATTTATTTTGTCATGTTTTGTCATGTTCGTGTCATGTGTATTGAAGGTGGTGACTCTTTGAGCTGTATGCAATGAAATTTCATTTTAATGTATGCTGATTAGTGTAGTCAAAGTGACAATAGTTATTATTCTATTCTATATTTCTATTCTATTCTACTTTTCTTCTCCTTCTATTCTATTCTTCTCTCCTCCTCCTCCCTATTCTATTGTATTTCATTCTATTCTATTCCATATTTCTATTCTATTCTGTTCCATTCCATTTATTTCTCCTCATTCTATTCTATTCCATATTTCTATTCCATTCTACTTTTCTTCTCCTTCTATTCTTCTCTCCTCCTCCTCCCTATTCTATTGTATTTCATTCTATTCTATTCCATATTTCTATTTTATTCTATTCTGTTCCATTCCATTCCTTTCTCTTCATTCTATTCTATTCTATTCCATATTTCTATTCTACTCTATTCTGTCCATTCCATTCCTTTCTCATCATTCTATTCTATTCTTCTCTCCTCCTCCTCCCTATTCTATTGTATTTCATTCTATTCTATTCCATATTTCTATTCTATTCTATTCTATTCTAAGCCNTCATGGTGGCTGTTTAGCTCCAGCAACTGCTTCCTGTTGGGGCCCTAAAGAGCCCAGACAGTCAGGCGAGGAATGGCTGGGAAGGGAGGGAAGAGGTCTGTTTGGCGCCCCTCGACATGAGTGACATCAAGTTGGCCATGCCCACCCAGTCACATGACCATCTAGCCACACCAACCCAACCCAACCCACCAACCCGCGTAAAAATTCAAGTAGAAAAAATAGGTACCACCTTTGGTGGGAAGGTAACAGCGTTCCATGCTCCTTAGGCATTTAGTCATGCCAGCCACACGACCACGGAGACGTCTTCGAACAGCGCTGGCTCTTCGGCTTTGAAATGGAGATGAGCACCGCCCCCTAGAGTCGGGAATGACTAGCACACATGTGCAAGGGGAACCTTTACCTTACATAAGATTCATAAATGTTGCAAACAAAATTAGGAAGGTATGAATTATGTTCTGTGCTTTTGTGTGCTTTTAAGACTAAAAATTCTCTTTCCTATCCCATCCTGTTATTCTCAAATGTTTAAACATCGGAAGAATGAGTTTTTCTAATCTTCAGGGGTTTTTTTTTTTAACTCTTATTTTGCCAGGTTGGGAAAAGAAGCTGCACAATGCTGTTTACAGAGAAATCAGTATGTGAGTTTTGTTTTTATCTCAGTGTTGGTATAACTTTTGCTTCATTTTTGCATGCCATGTGGCTTAACTCAGAGGCCCCTAAAACGTTGCCATCACACTTTCCTGTAGCGTAAACTTACTGTTGCAACCTTCCCTACAAACCCAAACACCAAAATGAAGACAATAAAAAAAAATGCAGTAAAGTCGTGGGAATGATGGATTTCTTGTAACAAAGTGTAACTATAATGTTCTTCATTTCTCCCCTGGATTCTATCTGCACATCTTCAAGCAACATATAGCAATAGCAGTAGCAGTTAGACTTATATACCGCTTCATAGGGTTTTCAGCCCTCTCTAAGCGGTTTACAGAGTCAGCATATTGCCCGCAACAACAATGTATTAAGAGGCGTGGTGGCGCAGTGGTTAGAATGCAGTATTGCAAGCTAATTCTGCTGACTGCCAGCAGTTCGATTCTTAACGGCTCCAGGTTGACTCAGCCTTACATCCTTCTGAGGTCAGTAAGAGAAAGAACCAAATTGTTGGGGGCAATATGCTGACGCTGACGCTATAAACTGCTTAGGGAGGGCTATAAAGCATTGTGATGTGGCATATAAGTGCTAGTGCTGTATATTGTGCCTGAAAATTTACATATCTCTAAGAAAAGTATGATTTATAAAGATTTATTTAGTAATGTGGGCCTAAATAATACTGGCACTAAAATAATACTTATTTTTTTTCCTTTTAGGTTTCCTTTACCTTATTCTCCATCAGTGCCTCCCGAACACATCAAGGAACCTTTGGCTTACATGAGAAAAGCTCAGGTTGGACGTGATTAAATTTTATTGCACATGCTCAAATATGGATATATGTTAAGTATTTGACCTGACTCTGCCAGTTGGCTTGGGTCCCCAATGGGGGACTATCACACTGGAGGTGGTTGATGAATTTAAGAGAAAATTCTACATCTTGCTACCTCCCTCTCTCCACATCTGTTAATTGCAACTTCGCCTGGATTGCAATTCTGTTTGTATTGTTTTTAGAAATTTATTGTTCTGACCTAGGCTACCCCAGCAGCACGAAGCCGAGTCCCAGTTACAGTGAATTCCTCCTCCAGCAAAGTCTTTCCTCTCCCACTNGGAGACGTCTTCGGACAGCGCTGGCTCTTTGGCTTTGAAATGGAGATGAGCGCCACCCCCTAGAGTCGGAGAACAATTAGGACATATGTGCAAAGGGAACCTTCGCCTTTAATACTGACATGCACACATACCTAGTACAGGTAATCCTTCACTTACAATTCATTCATTTAGTGACTGCTAGGAGTTACACCCTGAAAAGAGAGACTTATGACCGTTTTCACACTTTGCAGTATCCCCGTGGTCATGATCAAAATCCAGACGCTTGGCAATTGTGTCATATTTACGACGGTTGCAGTGTCCCTTTTGCGACCTTCTGACAAGCAATTTGGCATCTGTTAAACCAAGCTAACTTTAAAAAGTGATGGGTAACGGTGATCCCTAAAACATCATGTTTGTTAGTTTGTGCACCTGATTGATATACCCCAAGAACATTTAAAACAGTATCTTGGTTTCCAATTTAGTTTTTTGCACTTTTTCTAACTAAATGTTGACTCTCGTGATTTTTGAAGAATTTTGACACTTCTGTCATATTTATCTTTCTTGTTAGCTCAGTTTACACAATCCAGAGATTAAGCTACAATCCCTAAAGGAAGATATTAAAGAATATCTGAAGACATCAGGTTGGTGTTTTTTTATTCGTTGCATTTTAAGATTTTTGGTTTGAGTAAGTGCTGAATATTAGATATGGTCCATTACTTCAGGTTAATTTTCAACCGACTAATAAATGCATTAATTGTAGCAGCTTATAAAGATGTATCTTTACTCTCTGCTAACAACCATGGGGACCAAGCTGTTATTGCGCCCACTTCTGTGCAACCTTTTTGAAATCTTGCTTTAATGCCAGAGGTCACCAACTGCTGGTCCGAGAGAAAAATTATTTGCATTTTTAAAATTGCACTAAATTAGGGGTCCTTAAACTACGGCCCCTGGACCAGATATGTGCAATGAATGCTTGGGTTGCTGCAGAGAGTCTCCCCCTTCAGAGTCCTTTTGTGCCAGTCGGAGGGTGGCAGAGATTCCAATTTGGAATTCAGCCTCCCGGTGAGGGGCTTTGCGAAGGCTGGAGGGAAGTGCCGCTGGTGACGAAGAGCTGGAGGGCCTTGTTCCAGAGGGACTGCATCATGGCCTGGAACTGGCTGACCATCTCAGCCTGTTGAGCCTCCAGGCACTTGCGGTGGCCTTGCACACCCACAGGTCTTGCCTCTGTTTGGAAAGCCTATGCTCGTAGTCCTCAGTGAGGTGCTTCTTTTGAGCCACCTCCTCGGTCAGATCCAACTTGAACTGAGCCAGCTGTTTTGCCAGCTCTTTCTCTTTTTTGTGGTTCAAAAGTTTTATTTCTTTTAAAACAAACATTTCATCATTCCTCAATCAGTAAGACACCGGAGTACAATTTTTTGTGTGTCAAAATAGTTCTAGTTTACCACCAAATTCTTGTCTAGCCTAATG